GCGCGTCAACCGTACTACTCACTAATATGAGTAGTACCTCTCGAGGCCTCAATAAAAAAAACCTTTCTTGCTTAAAACCAGGTAGTTTTGCTTGTGACACATGCGTCTATCTATGATTTAGATGGGTGGTACTCTAAAACAAAAAACATCTCAAATGGTGATCGCGGTTTATCCGCCATTATTACGTTGTATTTCTAATGTGACCTACTATCAATTCCCTCTTCTTGTTAACTCAGACTTGTAGGATTGGTCGACGTGCTCTTTTCTCTTTATGCCATATTCACTAACGTTTTTGATTGCATGTTTTCCTGATCTGACATTTGGTTTCACAGTCTGAGGTTGTTTTCCCGTCAGTCTGCCAGCCAATGCTCGAACGTATAGTACGTCATGTGATACGGTATTGACTTCCTGGTTTGATGGCCGAAGTCAACTAATCTTTCGGTTGAATAGCGTCATAAACTGAATGAGTCTCTTGGATTTATTCGATCCCAAATTCACTTGTACATTCAGAATAATCGGCACATTGCGGAAATGCGGCCAGGGTCGGTGTGAGTACAAATCACCAAAACAATATTGGTCAAAGCCCATAGTATTCGAGAGTGCAAACCAAAATGGTTGGTTGGTTATGCATAGATCTACCATGAGTGCTACTCTCTATGTGGGGACGAACTACTCCGTTTAAATGATCGAGTCATTTAAACTAATTGATACACTTAGACGGTTGTCTAAACAAGGTCAAAGGTCGCGGTGGCAATCGTGATCCGACTGACACAACCCCATTTATGCACCTAAAAAGAGTCAAAAAATTATTGAGGTTATGACCCTCTGTTACTGACTCAATCCGATCACTGGAATTGTGATCGAAATTTCAAAGGTATCTCACTGTGAGTGCATCAATTTTGGCTACTACAGCGGAACCTGCAATTATAGTCTTTTCCCCTCTCATATGTGTTTCAAATTCAAGCACCCGTTTTCCGCTTGAATGTACCAATTGGCAGGTTTCAAAGCACCGTGCACGACCATATTATGCATACATTTGCCTTTGAATTCAAAAGACAGACGGATTCATTCATAACCAAATCAGCTGTATTAACGAATTAAGTGAAAGTATTGGGTTGTGATCGAAGACCTATGTCTATCAAACCATCTAACGCAGACCGAGATGTGCTGGACCAGTATTTTCCAGTGACTTCGACCATCGACGATGCCGTGCAGAAACACTAGTTCGCTCCGACCTTCCGAGCAGATGGATTCCCATCGGAGCTGCATAGTTGCCCTCATCCCCATATCGTTTTTAATAGGCTCGGAGATAAGTTCCAAAACATGCCTTTTAACACTGTGCTTGATTGAGGAAACTGCCCACTNTTGATTGAGGAAACTGCCCACTTATCAGTCTAGATTGTTTCTTTCCCTTGTTCTTTCCCTCGCACAAACTTCATTCACCACACCAAGCGTAAATTCTGGTTACACTCATTTATTGATCAAAACAGGAATGCACCTCCTTAATCAAAATGTGTTTATTGAATCAATAAGCAGTTGCTATCTCGTGAATATGTTGTGCAGTTTATTATTTCACAGCACCTTAGGGCTTGCCAGAAACTTTCCACCAGAATACTACTTGACCCATCTCATCCACTGTACCCTCACCTTAGTCAATGTATCTCCACATCTAGCACTCGTTTCATGTAATAACATATAGCAGCACGCACCACTGCATACAAGTCTTCCGTGATACCGTACTTGGTACGATTTCTTAATAACGCTGATCTTGTCATTAGGCCTCTTAAACAAAATCTTTGCTAAATTTATCTTATCTGTTTGTATATGTAACATATCATCATCCGTTTTTTACCATGCAATTTCCACAGAAAAGTGATTGTGTAATAGCTAGATGTTCATCCTCTATGGGGCGAATTAAAGCCGCTTCTTGGCTTGACTTGCAGATGGAGGTTAAACAGTGTAATAGATTAACAAACACAACTGTTGAACATGATCAACAAGAGTCGAGTGCTTTAAGTTAGCACCCGTGAGACTCAGAATCATCTTTGTATGAACTCTCGCTACTTCTGTGTCGTTGATACTTACTTACCATGCGGCCATAATTCGTACTAATGAATTTGGATGACTTTCTCATTCTGATTTCTATCCAACAATCTGTTGTGAAAATCATCTAAACTCATAAGATTAGATAAGCATTTTGGTTGTCGGACTCCAGGGCACGTCTGTCTAATCTTTTTAACGGACATCACAGGTCCCTTTCATCCTACGATTGACTGCATCATGTACGGTACAACCGGGTTTGGTTAGATGAAGTAATCTAAAACAACATCATAGAAACACTGAACCATATTTTACACGGGGGGGGGGTAGCGTTTTTCAGCGAACAGTATAAAACAGGGTGAATTATTTCAAAGGTTTCTTATTGCTTTCCTTAACCAGTGAATTTCTGAGGCGATTTTACTCCACCAGAATTTCTAGTTGCTTCAAACTGAATGACTTGAACTTGTCACATTTTGTTGTTTTCGTGAATGAACTATCAAAGTTCGTAATTGAATTTCATCAAATAGGTGACCGTTTAAGAACCAATCTTCAAATTAAATGATTTCAGTGACATATTAAGAAGCATCACTATAGACCCCGACTGTCACTGAAACTCATTTGGCCTGATTACTGAGATATTGCTTGTACTCAGGAAAAATGTGTATCTGTATGGAAGCTCAATATAGCAGTGAGACAGTGTCTAAACACACCAAGTATCATGATTCCAGGTGTACGTGTTCGCGTGAAAGCATAGCACGTTGTTCGTGCGCTAAAAGCCACTCATGCACTGCAGTGTTAAATATCAGTTTTGACCAATGAGTGTACGACAAATGGTTAACAGCAGAACAGCCGGAATACACTTACTCTCTGAAAAAGCCAAACGCTTAGTTCAACCCGGTTTTGGAATTAGTCAGTTGCATTTCCCGACAGTGATATTTCGTGCCCTTCAGCGCTTGAAATGAGCTGCTCACTTTATCATCTAAGAAATGAAACACCTACACACCTGAACCCTTTAGTCGATGTAGAATGAGATTGGAAATAATCTCACCGTAATATAAAAATGTTAAAATACAAGGTTATTTTAATGGTGGTGATCGGAGTCTTTAAATCAAAATAACAATTTGACCATATGGTACCATGGGTGTGCCTGAACTACACACTTTTTGGCCTTCATGCTTTAATGCACCAAGGCATTCAGAGATCTTCACAAAACCCGGCAGTTTTCAACCTATAAACAAACGTTACTTTTTCAGGAGCACTTCACCGAATGCCGAGAGCTCCAGTCGCAGTTCAACGAACGCCTAGTGGATACCTGTCCGGTCGTGTTGGAGAGATTCTTACGAAATGATAGTGACCTGGTAGCTTCAGAAGCCTTATATGCGGTAAGTAATGAGTTCCGTGTGTTTTCCTCAAGTTTGTGGACAGACTCAAAACATGCAGATTGATCCATAGGAAACGCAATAGGGGTAGTGTTAGCTGAAAATCGGACAGCTGTTGTGACCTGTTCAGACCAAATGTCTTGTTCGGCACAGGTATACGGACCGATTTCATTCACTATTTGAGCCGACCATGTACTTTTTCGTTGAACCGATGGGACACCGGGAATAACTTAGTGGTGTCATTTATTTAGGACAGAACGAGTGAAAGGCGCTTCTTGGATCACAACTGGATGGGTGAAAAACACAAAACCATTTCTATAGAGAAACACATTAGCAAATTAATGCGGCCTCTGAAACAACAAAATGTGATAGACTCCGTCACATTTGAAAAGATAAGACCAACAGGATGTATCATTCCGAGACTTTACGGTCTACCGAAGATACATAAACCAGACGTTCCCATGCGGCCCATTCTTGATGTGTCCGATTCACCCTAC